TTCTCACAAAGAAAGCCGCGCAGTGCCGAAGCGACTCACAGGCCCAGCTTCCCGGTAGTTGATGGCCTCGCGATAGAGCTGCTCTGCCTCGCCTGCAAGCTGGAGGAAATCCACCCCAATACGAGGGTTCTGGAAATGGGGGTCCCTGAAATTGGCGGTTTGCTTCTGGACTCCCTTCAATTCCCAAACAAATCCAAACAAAATGGGGTCCAACATTTTGAGAAACCCTATGAATACAGTACTGTGAATTCACAAAAGACCCTTTGCATCATTTCGCTCCCTCACGAAATGTGTCTTCCAGAAGTCTCCAGTCAGGTTCCATGATTCAGTATGATAACACTTGCCTATAACAATGACACAACTTGAGCAGCGCCCAAAACCTATTGACTGTTGGTTCTGCCAAGAGGGTTATAAAGGTTTGCATGGGCCTTGCTACAACCATCATAAGACCACGTAGTAGAAGCACCTGCCAACATGGAGTTTTTGGGCACTACTCGTTCTCAAGTTCCCCACCCCATTCTGATTGTGTGGGCCCTACCTCAAGGAGAGTCCCGCAGTTCCACTCCCAGGCTCACCCCATCCCCAATTCCATATTTTAAAGGAGTGGGGATACCACGAATCACTCAAACACTGGCACTGAAACAATGCATAAGTGTATACATACATATATATGGCTGGTTGTCAAAATGTTGGCTCCCAGTTTTGTAGCGTAAATCGCCATTCCATGGGGGCCCGTATCATTCGGGCCATATGAACACGTAACCATTGCGGCACAATACGTTTGACTAAGAAACGTGCAAACCACTGACAGGCGCACTAGCGCGGGCCTTTTCTTAAAGCTGCTGCTATAGGATATTTAAACACACAATAAATCCCAACGTTCTACACCACATCTTCAGCAAGTAGCAAAACGGAAATGCGTATATAGCTTTACTTGGCCTGACTACCAACTACAGCCAAGAAACATGCAAGTGGTTTCGTGGGTATTGCCTCCAGGCACGTGCCCACGTGTTCAAGTTGGCAACTGCCTGCTAGCGCGGCGCTAGCGCGGAGCTAGCGCGGAGCTAGCGCGAAAAACTGCCCATGTTTTCTTATTTTTCGCAGGGTCACGTGTCGCAAGGTCCGATACAGATTTCGTTACAGGCGCAACGCTTTCGGAAGGGCAGGCATGGCAGGCACCATGCATGCGCATCTCACGTGCCACGTCAACCAACGTCCCCGACCTAGCGCCGAGCTAGCGCGAAGCTAGCGCTGCCAGTGAGATTTGCATGATTTAGGTGGGGGCCCGCTTCATGTCGAAAAGGAAAAAACAAGATGCAACAGGAATTATGAACATACTGTATATAGCTGCTTAGCCGGCCTTTTTGAACGGAAGCCATATATATATATACACACACACATCCTTACACTATCTTCGGCGTCGCCTATCACTTGCCAAGATTGGTGATGTAAAACTGTCCCCCACCATCGGGCGTGATCATGCCGCTCGAACTCATGCACTTTGAACCGATCGATCAGGGCAAACCACTCTTTTGATAGTTGATGGTTCGACTCTTGCTGTCTTGGGCAAACAGGTATGTCCCTGACGCCTTCAAGCAATGTGGGCTTGATAGGAAGCACTCGTCCGGTTCGGACATCAAGGCTGACCTTTTGGAAAGGATGACTCAACTTTAGTGTGTCTTTGTTGGGCAAAATGAGGCTCAAACAAGACGTATGAAGCAACACTCTAAAACTAACTTGTTCGCCCAGTGGCATGGGCCATGCGGAAGACAAAACTTATCACAATCCCTGGCCTTGCGGTTTCTCTACAAAACAACTGAAAGGCGTCTTAAGAGAAAGGACAAATCTCTATCTGCCAGGTGCAAAGGCCCTCGCGACAAAGCTTGCCTGCTCCGTCTCCATCTTCGGCGCCTGTCGGGGAAACAAGCGCAGGTTGAAGAAACTCGAAGCGTCAAAGGCATGCATGAACCAATCCGCTTTTAGTTTGTAAAGGATGGCTCCTTTGGACACCCATACAGGCAAGCAATTTCAACGCACTGGAAAGTAGTAAGAACTGGATCCCCAAGAAAACGCAAAGCAAAGTTTACTCCCCCTGCAAAATTAACATGGAACGCCAAACAGGCAACATATTTGTAGAATTTTGTAGAGGTCTGCTTTGGGAGACTTCATGTTTGGGGTCCATGTGAATTTGCAGGAGCAAAGGGGCCAGGAAATTGCTCCAAGAGGACCGCTAAACTGGCTTCTTTTCTTTTACTGTCCGTTGCTGCCTTTGATTTCCTTACCAAGCAACAAGGGGTTTTCCATTTTGAGAACCCCTCTCAAAGCGTTCCACAGGGACGCTTGCGTAACCCGAGTCCATCCTAAGCCATTCAACAAGACGATCATTTGACATCATGAAAAAACCAGCCTCAGCTGCAAACACGTCTGGGTGGAGACCCCCCTCACCAGGTGTCCGTTTCTGCAAACTGAACAACAAGTTACACCCCCCCCGTGTGGGAAAACTGGAAGACCCGTGTGCCATGCTCAAAGCAACTGGGGGGCTCTTATAAAATGATAGAAATCGATGCTCGAATGAGGTGTCCCCCATCAAAACGCATTGCCTTGTAGACAATTCATGGGCCCCGGATGAATAAGCTTCCGGTTGAGAACAAGCAAAATGGTGGGTGTCCCCTTGTCAGGATTCATCCTTTCAAAGTTCTTCTTCAACTTCCCTTGATTCGGACGACTTTTACAGGTAAATGAAATCTGGGGTCATCATCACCCGTCTCTGAAACCCCACACCCAGGGCTCCAGGAAAGCAAATGGCAGTTCCCCAGGGATCTGCAAAAAAGAACGCCGAGCCATGTGGTTGGCCTCAATGTGTCTGGCTATTTCCAGTAGATCCTGGATTGATCAGCTTCCTCTAATTTGTGGCTTGGATTGGTGTTTTCCATTTACCCTCTACAAGAACCAGGGGTTCACATCCCAAACCACCAATCCAAACACATCCCAAACCACCAATCCAAACCACCAATTCGAGGAGGCTGATTCTTTCTTTTCCTTTCTTAAAAAAGAGAGGAAAAACCGGGACAAAAACACGAGAAACATAAGCCCACCAGCCCCAACACCTGGACGCGGACAAACGCGTAAACAAACGGGAGGTGTCAATTGCTTGGATACCATGATTCTGGAAATTGTTCCAGGCGATTCCCAGGAAACAAAATCCTCAACGGGCTGTCCAAACAGATCCCCGGAAAGTGATGAATCAACAGTTCGTGGTCTACATGGAAACATGAAAAGCTAATGTTGGCCCCTTTTTTCATCAGCAGTGTCCCTGGGAAAGGAGTGGGTTTTGGAGAGGAACACCCCCTCTAGACTGTTTGGGTTACAGGACATTTCTAGACAACAAAAACAACCCGCTGATTTCGGGTGGGCCATTTCCTGCAGATGGTCCTGTAACCAAGCCTTTGACCCATTTTAGAGACTGGAAGTTGGCTGAGAAAGGGGTCGAAACCTCAACCGCCGAAGACGGCACCGGTCCTGGAGATCCCGGTCCCAAGGCCCTGGCGAGGGGTATGTTCGTTTGATGGGTTTTTTCAGGAGCCCAAGAAAGAAGCCAAGCACTTTGGGTGCGACTGTAGGGGAGCTCGAAATGACGTGTTCCTGGAGTTTCAGACCAAAGGGGTATCTTTAAACAAAAGCAAACCCAGGAGAGGAGACTCCTTTTGGGAATTGGACCCCAGAAAACAAGCTTTCAGGTTGTATCGAGTAATTTTTTGTTTTGCCATGAGTCCAAACGGTAGTTGTCCTCACCAAGTTTTCTGCCTGGGACGCCTAATCTTCGCTTGCCCGGAATTTCACTACCTGGACGGGGAGAGTTGCAGACTTGTCGCGGTTTGTTGTATATATATATATATTCACCTGCTTGAACTTCTTCCCAACTGCTTAAGTCTTTCATTCGCTATCTGTTGGTTAATCGTTAAAAAACGGCATCGAAAAAGGGAAAGCTCCCCTGCTGACTGGCGTTGGGAAACCGATTTGAAAAAAGGCGAACTTTTCCCACAAAGGTATTGGCTTTGTCAAACAAAGCGGGGGGGAAATTGGCTTAAGCTTTGGAATGGCGAGATGCGCGAGCCAATCGCCGGCTTCGACTGGGCGTGGGCTTGGGCCTGGCCTCAAAAGCCAATCAAACCCCCTTCTACCGTCGTAGAAGCCGGTCAAGTGCCGCAAACCTATTACATCTCCGCCAGCAACCGGTCCAACTCCAGTCATACGCCCAGAAACTGACACATTCCCCCTAGAACCGGTGAAATTCCAGTCAAATCAACTCAAACCCCTCTAGAAGCCGGACCGGTCAAATTCCCCCTATAAACCAGTCAAATCTTCTTAGAAAGCGGTCACATTCCCCCCCCAGAAGCAGGTCAAAATCCCTCCAGAGACTAGCGCATTTCGGGGCCGACTCACTCACTCACTCAGACAATCACAACACTTCAAGGCAAACCAAAACACAGTACCTCAAAGTCATTCTGGCCGAGGCGGGAAAACTAGTGCCAAAACGGACGACAAACTTATGGGTGTGTTTTTTTTGAGGGCCCCCTTGTCCCCTCCCCCCCCCCACCCAAAAAGAGAAGAGACAAACACATATAAATGGCTGTTTTCGTTTCGGCTTTCCTATCAAACAACAAAAACACGGGCACCCTCAAAAAGACACACCCGGCAATGCTGTACATGCAAACAAAGCGAAGGCCCAAATCGCCAGAATGGCAAGGCAGCTTTCTGCCCAAACCTGCACTTCTCCTACTGGGGACTTGTCTTCTCTTTGCCTGGCGCACATCCGAACACAACTCACTTCCAGCGCGCGCTGGCAAACAAAAAACATCAAGCTTTGCGCATTCCACTCTAACATGGCCGTCTTCCCCAAAAACTGACTAGAGGCCAACCCGGGGAGTGAGCTGAACATTCAAAGACTTGGAAACACGACCACTCGAAGGATTCGACCGCGATCGTTCAATTCCGCCCACCTACCATGCCCGGGAAGGGTGCTGACCTCAGGGCACTGGGTTTCATTGAAACTGCGGACAGGGGACCTTCCCTTCACCTTGGTATGGTAGTAAGCCGCTTGGTTTTTGCCGCAGCGCCCTACGGAAAATGAACAGAACATCACTTCCTGAGTGGATAGCCCCCCAAAAAAAACCCAAACTGTTGCTTGCCATTAAAACTGATCTTCCCTAAAAACTTGAAGTGCTTGAACTGAGGGAGTAAGGAACCAAAAAGCCTCAAAACCTAAACATGGCAACATCAGGCAAGCAACCTCATTTACAGAATGAATTGGACGTGGAGACCCTATAAGACTTCCACAAGTTGGCGTTCCTTGTTGGAGGGAACTTCATGGTAACTTAACCCTAAAAGGAGAGAAGGCTTGCGACTAAGGGCACCCAAAGGTTGGAGTGCTAAAATGGCAACCCTCGCAACAAAAGGGCATGCCCAAGGACCTTCATCATGGTGAGTGCACCAGCGTGTGTCACTAGAAGCGGCCAAGAACAACTTGAATGTGGGTTGCCGGGCCCCTTAAACCCGAAATTAGCAATGATCACAGAAGCAAAGTACTGAACAATTGTTTAGACCTTCATACAACCAAAGGATGTTTTAGGAAAGTCGCATTTGCGCCGCGGGAGATCTGTGTGTTTTCTCATTTGGCCCCTCATATCCAAACCGCGCCGCTGCTCTAGCCCCGCGGCACACGGGGACTCGAGTCTCAGCTGGGGCTCCGGCAAATCCAGGCCTTGAATGC